ATGAAATTGCTAGATATAAAGCTCGCCTTGTCGCACAAGGTTTCTCACAGAGACCAGGAGTTGATTATGAAGAAACTTATTCTCTTATTATGAATGCGATTAGATTTCGATACCTAATTAACCTTGCAGTTTCAAAGAACTTAGAAATGCGTCTCATGGATATTGTTACTGCTTATTTATATGGGTCACTTGACACAAACATTTATATGAAAATCCCTAAAGGATTTAAAATGCCCGAAATATTGAAATCAAAACCACGAGAGTTATGCGCTGTCAAGTTACAACGATCATTGTATGGGCTAAAACAATCAGGATGTATGTGGTACAAACGTCTGAGTGAAAATTTAGTGAAAAATGGATATACAAATAATCATATTTCACCATGTGTGTTTATAAAAAGGACGATGTCTGGGTTTATGATTATTGTATTCTATGTTGATGATTTAAATATCATTGAAACTCCCCGTGAAATTCAGGATGCATCCACATATTTAAAAGGGGAATTTGAGATGAAAGATCTCGGACAAACCAAGTTTTATCTTGGATTACAAATAGAGCATTTGGATACTGGAATCTTTCTACATCAATCTAATTATACAAAAAGGGTACTAAAGCGGTTCAATATGGATAAGGCAAATCCCCTGAGTACCACAATGATTAATAGATCATTGAATGTTGAAACATATCCATTTCGCCCCGTAGAGATGGTGAAGAGACACTTGGTCCTGAAGTAGCATTTATGTATCTTGCCAACTGTACTCGACTGATGTAGCATTTGCTACTAATCTGTTAGCAAGATATAGTTCAGCTCCTACACGAAGGCATTGGAATGGGATTAAGCACATTTTCCGTTATCTTCAAGGATCAATCGATTTGGGATTATTTTTTTTCTAAAAATACAAAACAAGAAATTGTTAGTTTTGCAAATGCATGATATTTATCTGATCCACATAAGGGAAGATCACAAACGGTTATGTCTTCACAATCAATGGAACTGCATTGGCTTGGCGTTCTCAAAATCAAACATTAGTTGCTACGTCATCTAATCACACAGAAGTTATCGTGCTACATGAAGCAAGCCGAGAATGTGTCTGGCTCAGATATTTGACTCAACATATCCAGACAGCTAGTGGATTATCAACCAATAAAGCTCCAATAATATTATTTGAAGATAACGCTGCATGCGTTGCACAGACTAAGGGAGGATATATGAAAAGTAACAGGACAACACATATTCCTCCGAAATTCTTTGCATACACCCAAGAGCTGGAAAAGAATAAGGAGATTGAAGTCAGATATATACGATCATGTGATAATGCAGCAGACCTATTCACAAAAGCTCTACCGACAACAATATTCAAGAAATATGTACATAACATTGAAATGCGTCATCTACGAGACCTTTGATCCTTTATACAGGGGGAGCGTGGAACTGCACTCTTTTTTCCTTATCATGTTTTATCCCAAAGGGTTTTACTGATAAGGTTTTTAACGAGGCAGTCTAAGACACGCAAATATTTTTTACTAACCGTAGCTCCAAGGGGGAGTGTTATAAATAAATGGTGGAGCCCACAGTTAGTGTTCAGCCGCCAAACACTGTTCAGTCGTCGGGTACTGTTCACAAATACGTATAGATGAACAGTAACTTCGAATTTTCTACAAATAGGCCATTTCACTTCTTCATTTGTACACAATTCCAAGAAAGAAAAATTAGTGAAATCTTGTTCCCCAATCTCTCAAATGACCGATTTCGCTTTCTAGTTAACGATCTGTTTTCCGGGTCTTCTATATTTCTTCGTTTTTCACAAGAGATATTGTTTAATATTGTGTCAAGTTCCTTTTTTAAAAAGGTAATTATTTTTTTTGTTCCTTTTAGTTTTTATTTGCAAAACTCTTAAATTTTGAAAGGTAAATCCATTTAGCAAAAATGAGGGTAGATTTGCTATTTCCCCTCTTGATCCTTCGCTATTTCATCATCCTTTTTTTGGCAATGATTTGATGAAAAAGGGCCAAAAAAGAACTTACCAAGCATACAACATATAAAAAAGAAAAAGAAAAACTTGATATAAATAAAAAAGGGAAAATGGCATAAACCCCCACAAATTTATTCAAATATGTAAAATCAATACATAAATTTTGAATTTGACAAAAATCCACATCAGAATTCAAAATTTACCATTTACATACACCAATTTGAAAAAATTATAGCAATTTCCAACACTGCTTCATTTGACAGTGAATTGAAACAAAAACCGGTCGTCAGATATTTGACATGGCATGCCACGTAATTAAAAACGCCACATATGATGACAAGTCATCAAATTGAGTTATTGATAGAACTGATTACTATTTGGTTTTAATTTAAAAACCGGTTCATATTAATAATATTTAATTGAAATTGATGTCAGAAAAAAATATAAAATCCCAATTTGGGATTTAGGGTTCTCATTCGACTGAAACTCGAAAGCTTCTCCTCGGCAACTCCTCCGGCAAAGCGCGATGGTTCGGCGACTGACGATGATTGACGACGATCGATGACGAATGAAAATGATTCATAAGATACATAAGAATGATTCAAGAAAAACAAACATAACAACAGTCCAAAACATATCTAAATCCACATATAGATTTTTCCTGGAATATTCGAACAAAAAACATATAATTTCTCCCTCGTCATGTTCTTGAAGTTCCCACGCTTTGAACATCTTTTTTAGCACTATTTTCGTAAACTATCTTCACTACTCTACTTTAATCTGCATCAACCAAAATCAAGGGTCATGGTTAATGAGCATCATATAAAAATTTGTCAAATCTGTTAGTTTCTCTTCAAGTAAGCAAGGAATCGGTAACCCTAAACACTCAATGCTCAAACAAATAGTTGAATCAACAACCCCAACATATACCTGAAGTAATACATACCTAATTCACTGAAGGAATCACTGTTGGCAAAGGAGTCACTATCACTAAAGTAGAAGAAGGAGCAGTCGTCGCAAAAGGAGCCGTCGAATTAGAAGCAGGAACAGTCGCCATGGAACGAGCCGTCGAATGGAGTCATGAACGAACCACCATCTGAGAAATACTCGCTGTAAAACGAAGAGCAGACCTCGAAGGAGTCATTTGTCGCAGTCGAGGGAAAGCAGTCCTCAGGCCCTCGCTGTCGTCGAGTCACTGTCGCATTCGAAGGAGAAGCCGGATGACTCGCCGGAGGAGCCGACGGAGTCGCAGAGGAGCAAACAATTTCTTAGGGTTACTTTGAAATCCTTATTCCCATATCTTTTTTTAAAACCGGTTATATTTAATCTAAACCGATTGAAAATTAAATATCTCAAACAATTTGATGATGTGTCATCATATGGGGCGATTTTTAATTACGTGGCATGCCATGTTAAATATCCGACGACCGATTTTTGTTTCAATTCACCGTCAAATGAAGCAGTGTTGGAAATTGCTATAATTTTTTCGAATTGGTGTACGTAAATGGTAAATTTTGAATTCTGATGTGGATTTTTGTCAAATTCAAAATTTATGTATTGATTTTACACATTTGAATAAATTTGTGGGGGGTTTATGCCATTTTCCCAATAAAAAAACATGAAATTTGTTATAACCCTCAACTTAATACACACACATTATAATTTTTTTAAAAAAAAACACACAAAAAAACAGTAAAAAAACATACGACCGTACATTCAAGGGAATCCAGATGATTAAATGCGAATTAAGAATCAAGAGGTTTTACAATGCCATTCCGATCAACAAAAACAGATTCGACAAGCAACAAAATCACAAATATAAGATCGATTTAGAAGAATTAATGAAGAAATCCAAAGAATTAACATGTTTGAATGGGAGAGAGAGAGAGAGAGAGAGAGGAATCTTTCTCGAAAATGTTTCTTCTACTTCTGTGAGGTTCGATTTCTCTGTTGCAGTAACTATACACCTACCTATATGTAGAGGCCAGGGGTTTTGTTGCAGTAATTTGTTAAAAGTTTATATTGATTTGTTTTTTTTATTTTTTTAGTTTGGTTTTATTTAGGTTTGATTTCGTTAAAAAATATATATATATTAAAATTTTTCGTTTTTTCAATTAATTTTTTTTCATCATAAGCGAATGCCCGTTTTTCTTTTCGATTGAGAAAACGACGAGTCTAATTAACTCTCCATTAGTATCTCGAAATGAGGTCGAGAGACGGTCAACCTGAGATCGGTTGAGATCGAGATAGAAATGGTGATGATTGTAGATAGAATCTGACTGAAGAAAGAAAATAATAACACTTTGGTCATCTCATTCACGATTTACGACTCTAATGAATGCCGTCGGACATTGCAGAAAAGGTTCATACCATCCCTAAGTCCTTGCCGTATCTTTCTCTCAGATGATGAAATACTAAAAAAAGGGTCGAGCCACCAACTAGGTCATTCCATCGGGGCTTGACGAGCAGCCGGACGGACTATTCTAGTGAGTCTAGTGACTACTAGGAATAGAATTGAGTCAAAGGGTATATATGGTATAACAACCTTTCCGAACGAGCCTTTAGGATCTCCTGTAAACCCCCATCATGTGGTAAAAGGAGGATATTAGGGGGAAGCACTGAGTGGAGATTCCCCTGTGGAGAGTCGGAAGAGGGAGACCTTCTCGTCCGGTTTAGAGAACGAAATATCTTCCATTCCAGTACGATTTTTGAAATATTTTAACCATTATATAAAAATATTTAGTATAATATGTTATCTAATTCAATTAGAATTATATAATTTATTATATGTTATTATCAATTCATTTGTAATCATTCGGTTATTGAGGAAATTGCTTGACCTTAGCTATATGTAATTATGTTTTATGTTGTCTGCTCGTGCCCCGGCCCGGTTCGGTCCGGTCCGGTCCGGTCAAAGCGACATCACACTAAAACCTTAAACGACTTCGTTTATTGTATCGAAGAACAAATAACATCAAAATTCATCCAAAAAGGAAGAAGAGAAGACAAGAACGAAATCTCTCTCTCTCTCTCTTCTCTCTCTCTCTCTCACATCATCATCGTCTCTCTCTCGCTCTGTGCCTGTGCGTCGTAATCTATACATACTCACGTACACGTATAAACGGGTCTTCTATATATCTATATGTGTGAGGATATTGCAATACGGTGCAATTGACCGGAGGATGTACGGTGGCTCGTCGAAGCTCGGCCGTGGAGGCGGTAGGGGCGGTGCCGCTTCCGGAGGACCGTCGCTTGTCCGGAACTCCTACCGAAATCCCTCCCTTGTTGGTAGGATGTCGTCGGGAGGCGGCGGCGCTTCCGCCCCGCGCCAAAGCAGCACCTCCGGCGGAAGGGCCACCGCGACGCCACAGGCTGTCGAGGAAACCTTCAGCCTTGTGCCTAGTAAGAACCTACCGGCTTTCGCCATGATCATACGGCTTGCGCCTGACTTGGTAGAGGATATCAGGCGTGTCGAAGCGCAGGGTGAGACCGCAAAGATCAAGTTCGGCGCGTCTTCTAACAATACAAGTGGGAATGTGAGTTTTCATTCGTTTACAAAAAAAAAAATGCATGAAAGAGGGTTTCGTTGTTGTTGATTTGAATTCTATCAGCTAATTTCCACTTTTTCTTCTGCGAATTCTGAATTTTCCCTCTAGGGTTGTTGAACATTGTTTGGTTCGACTCAGATATTGGCAATTCGCTTCAATTAAGGTGCCCTAATTGGTTAATGTGAGTGAAATTCAGTTCTTGTGCCCGATTTGATTGTTGTATCTCGAAAATAGAGCTCAATGTGATGTTGGGAAAAAGGCAACTAAAATCAGCAGATACTGAAACTTATTGGGACCTATTAAGCTGTTTGTCAATTGGTAATTTGGTATAAATCCTTTCTTTGGCTGAGTCGTGAGAAATATTGACTTAGCTATTGGTTGATTGATCATGCTCTATTCTATGTTGGCCAACTTGTTAGATGGCTGTTCTCTGTTAATGTCTTTTCCCAATTTCAAAACTTGCTTTCTTTGTTTAGCATGTCATAGTTTATTCATTGGTAAAGGTTGTTGATTGAATGTTCTTTTATGTCTTTCTTCAATTCCGTATCCTTTTGTGTTAGGCATTCC